AAATCATCTCTTCAAAGCCAAATGGCTCTTCATTTCAATCCTAAAAAGCCATAAAGTAGTTTCCAAATCACATGAAAAATTTTTCAGATAGGCCAATTAACTGGCTTAATTATACTCTCTTATGTCACCAGATAGGGAAGAAAAGGCCTATAATTTGAAACAACAGACCACACATCTTCATGGTGGGTAGCTAAGTTGCAGATAGCACTTCCACACAGCAAACAAGCTTCCCTCCTTATTAAGTTTTCAGTTTGTAAAAGAGAAGCATGATAGATATAGTATTGAATTTTGAGATATTTTACTGTTTTTAGATAGTTCCTTGGACTTTGAAAATTTCACGTCTGTAAGTTAGAGCCAATGTACACGATGAATCATTCTCATATTTTCTTTCCTTTCCCAAATTTGAATTTTCATGGGTAAACTAAATATATACAGTGAAGATAAGTCTTGAACAAAATTATGGCATTGTACCATTTCTTTTGTCTGTCATAGACATGTTAGGAAACAGAAAATAAAACTAAAATTGCAGTCACAGAATATGACCTCAGCCATCCTCTTACATCCCTTAATTTATGGGTGAAGAATAAAAGGCCAGAAAGTTCCTAAGTTCTATAAATCTCACAGAGATATATCTTCTATCTCTGCTTTCCTGGACCTTAATTCCAAATTTGTACATATTTTCCCCCTCCCAATCACATCAGATGCTTCTGCCCATATTATTAAGAGTTAGCAATGTTTCTGCAAGTTTCTGCCAACTAAAAGTCTTTCCAGGTATAACCTACAAGGTTTAAGTATGTCTTGAGAACTATTTTATACACACTGTTCTGTAACTTTCTTTTTTGTCATTTAAACTGGCAATGGACAATTTATTTTAACAAATATGGAGCTAAAAAATCTTTAATGATGGAATATTCCATTGTATCATTATACCAGAATTTAATCAATTCTTCTGGAAAGACTTTATCTGTCAAAGTTATCCCATCAGTAGTATATGTGAGTGCTCACATTCTCACATACTCATCAATAATGGTTGTGATAAATATCTTTAATCTTTGTCTTCTATTCTGATTCTAAACATTAATCTTGATATACACCTTATTTAGAGATAATAAAATATACCTTGGTCATCATGTTATCCTCTCCAGACAATATTTCCATTTGGAAATTTCGGTATGTATTGTCAATATTATTGATTTTATTTACTACTGAGGTGATTCCTGGATTTTTGTCAATCATAACTTGGCCTAAAAGAAAGGATGAAAATTAATAACGCATCCTGTCTATCGGTTGCAAAATCAAGTCTAAAACTGCAAATATGAACAAATGAATTATATTTTCTTTAGGGTAAAAATAAAAATTGCACCTAGAGTGTGTAATGTGGCATGCAATTCTAAAACTTCAACAGATTATTAAAGTTAATGTCTGATAGACTCCAATACTCACAAAAAAAATGTATGGGTACATTTTTAAAGAAACAATTTTGAGGAGTTTGGGTCTACCTAATATTTTTGCATGTTTTTTCTAAATCTTTTCATATGTCCCCAAACAACAAGTAAACAAAAAGGTAGACCACAGGGAATTGGGAAAGAAAGTAAAGACAAAGACCCTGGCAACAAATGGTCTCAGAAAATAGCAAAACATCTGGCCGTCCCCACTGGCCTCAAACCAAATGTGTTTTACTGTGGATTTGAAACAAATGCCTCCACTTTGGAAATTTATGCCAGCAAAACAATGTTTCCAAATAAAAGAAACATAGATTCTTTACAGTCTTATCTAAATAAAATGTTCTTAATGTTCTTACTTAAATTGTTACTTTTGTCAAATATTTATCACAGCAGAAGGGCTACAAAAATAATAAAATACATCAGAAGTGGCATACTGATGTCTTTTAATCAGTCTATTTTTTGTTAGCACTTAAAAAATTTTATAAAAATCTATATGCTATTGACTAGATAAGGAAAGATAATTTGATTTGTGAGTTAGTAAAAAGTACTCAGTCATACAAATACGCTGAAATACAACCAGAATTTGTCCAAATTCTCTCTGATAATTAGATACCTAATTTTGAATATGATAATATCAATAAATTCTAATCAATCATTGCTCTTATTCTGTTCTGTTTCATTTATCTGAACTCAATTTTTAAGATATAGAAGTTAGTTTGAAATAAGAATGAAATTAAAAATTTTTTAAAAGCTATTCTGAAGGTCCATAGTAAAATCTTTAAAATCACTATTGTATGAAAATGTTTTACTTTTAACCTATGAATGCCCCTTTATGAGAGGTTATAAAATAGGAATGCCAAAGGAATGTTTGAGTTAGTGTAGGCAGTAATTCACAGGAAAGCCTAGACTTGACATTTGCACACAGTCACAATTATAAAAATCTGTTTAAGTATTATTATGTCACCACTATCCATTATCAGTCCCTTTCATCAATAAAAACAAAGGAAATGCATAACAGCACAATTCTAAAATCCTACCCATGCAAAATACTGAGCACTACATTTAAAGCTGAAAATAATTTCCAGAAGTTCTGACAATTATATTTAAAAAAACAATCTGGAGAATTTAGGCTAGGAGCGCTAAGAAACATAGATGAGGATCAGTTGGTTGAATCAATGAAAGCATATAAAAAATCTCTTGCATTTTTGACTATAAAACACTCAAACTTATGAAAGCTAGTATTTAACATAGTCCTGAAAGCCTAATAAGTCTTGTGTACCAAAAAGAATTCTGTTCAATGTAGCTGCCAAAGTAAATAATTCAAGTTTAATCCACACTTATGTATTGGTGTACACAAAAGCCTGGACCAATATTTACAGCTTGGTATGACTCTAAAGAGGGTTTTCCAAAATGGCCCTTAAAAGAGGGTATGTAGCTCAAGATCCAGCTTAAAGTTACAATGATAAAATGTCCTGAGGCTGTAATTTGGCATTTAAAAAAATAATTTTAAAAACCAAAATTAGAATTTGTGAATTCCTTTCTAGTACATGAATAAAAACAAAGGAAATGCATAACAACACAGTTCTAAAGTCCTACCCACACAAAATACCATGACACACCTACCAATTAAATGCTTGAAAGGTAGCTGATGATCTCGAAGGTTCAAGTGTGCAATATGTCCAACTCTGCTAAACCCTGAAGTCACATCTTGACCTTCAGGAAGCACAGCTTTCAAGATTTCTTCTGACTTAAAGTTTTCATAAGTTAGTTCCAAATTATATTTAGATATCTGTGGTTTGACATTAAGCTGTGTTAAAATACTGAGTTCTGCTTTCTCAAAAGAATCATGAGTAAACATTTTATAGGGATCCAACATAATTAGTCTACTTTCTTCATCGTCCGGATCTTCAATCACACGTTTTATGCCTGGGCGCTGCAGTGCTGCCCTTTTAAGGGATCGCATCAATTTATTGACTATTTCTTTCTTCACTTTAAGCACTGGAATGGTGACTGTCTTTTTAAAAGCTGTTCTGTCAAGCTTTGTCATGCCTCGAACATCAGAGGGTGGTGAAAACAATTCAGAGTCTCTCTCATTTGTTTCTACTTCTGGCATGGTTGAGGATCTTTTTCGTTGACCCAGTAAGGAAATACCAGGTGCTTTCCTAAGTTTCTGTGTCAGCGATGTCCAAGCTAGTGGAATCAAAGATTCTGATTCAGTTATGCTACAGCTTTCCACTTTCAGAAGTCTTCTTGAGAATTCAATTGGCCTCCATAAGATCCTAGAAAAAGTATTTATTTAAGAAATACCATAAAGCTACAAACTAATTTTCATGTTCACAAGGTTTTTGAGAATAAAATATAAATTCTGTTTCAAATAACCTGCTAAATGCTGATAAAACTTTTACTAGTGTGTGGAAAGTATATTATCTTTTCCAGAATAGGATGACTTTTATTAGTGGCAGATAATAAATTTGCACCTTCAACCCACCTGCTGCCAGCACAGCGCTTAGTGATCCATCCATCAGCGTTCCGTACTCAGTGAACCTCTCCACCCACAATTTTCTACAGAATACATTTGGGATTGGAAGGCTGAAATTTGGGTTAAAGGGTCATCTCTAAATGAAATGGTCATTTATATGACATAACCAATGGATATACTTATCGGGATACTCTCACGGGTGCTTATTGTGCCAGACGCTGTGCCAAATGCTTTGTACACATTATCAATCCTGGGAGGTGTGAAGTATAGCGTCCTCATTTTGTAAATGAGTGAACTAAAGCTCAGAAGTAGGTTACCTCACCCAAAGTTTTGTTGCTGGTAAGTGGCTTAGCAAGGTCTGACTGACCTCAGTGCTTGTGTTCTTAATATATTGCTATGTTGTTAGTCTTCCATGTTTACTGCCACAGGTCCTGCCCTTAACTAGAGGCTTCCGTATTTTGAGGACGACAGCTTTGCTGAGGGTCATATGCACAGTATTAGCTATTCACTTCGTCTTCTAAAATACCAACGAAGTAATTGTAAGGGGAAAGGGCTCTGCTCCAGAATCCTGTAAAGCAACAAAGTTTAACCTCACAGGGCTCAAAATGGGTCCCGCAGTTAACCACCTGGGTGACCTTGAGTGGATTACTTAATGTGAGTCTCGGTTTCCCATCTGTAAAATGCGGCTAAAGGATCTAACTCGGACCTAAGCTCGACACCTGGGCGGATGGGTGACACCTGGGCGGATGGGTCACTGCGCAGCGCTTCCGAGCGCAGGCGGCACGAGGCGGAGAGCGGCCCGGGGCGGACTGGTACCGCCGCTGGACCATCAGCCCCTCCGAACTGCCAAGGGTACCGCGGCCGCCACCTCACACTGCACCATCCCAATTCCTGGCGTCGCTCCGCATCTGGTTCGGTGACCAGACTCCTCACCTCATGCTCCGGTGCCGCTCCGAAAACAGCCGCGGGAAGATAGACCGGCCTTCGATGACATCATCACGGCTCGCCGCAGAGAGGGCGCGCGTCAGATCAAGTCGACGCCCTCCTTTCCTACCCGCCTCAGTGAGGTGCCGGAACACGGAAGGGCAGGGCCGATGGCTCCGCCTCTGGCGCGACTAACGACGGGATCGCAGGGCAGGGGAAAAGGCTCTCAGATGGGCCTGATAGTTAGCAAAAGGGCAGCATGGAGACCTCCCAGGAGAGCATCAACGCTGAGCGGGGCTGGTACGTCTCTGCGCAGCAGCCCGAGGAAGAGGCGGAAGAGTTGAGTCCGTTGCTAAGCAACGTAAGTGGGCTACGTTTTTTTTTTTTCCTCGCGCAGACGCCCTCGGGTTTCCTCACGTCCCTGCTGAATAACTGGAAAAGAAGGAGCGGGGCACTGGTAGAGGGGAGAAGCTGAAGCCCGGCCCCTGGGAGTTGGGGTCCAAAGGCAGCAGCCAAGAGTCAGATGAGATCGGCGGGGTTGTGAATGTGACAGCAGCCTAACATACTCTAGAACTGCGGTCCCCACCCCCCTGGCCGCGGCCCGGTACTGGTCCGCTGCCTGTAAGGAACCAGGCGGGCACCACCGCCTGAGCTCCATGCCCCACCCCCGCCCGTCGAAAATTGTCTTCCATGAAACTTAGGAACCGGCTGCACAGGAGAGTGAGTGAAGCTTCATCATCTGTATTTACAGCCGCTCCCCATCGCTCTCATCACCGCCTGAGCTCCGTCTCTCCCCGCCCGGGTCTGTGGAAAAGTTGTCTTCCATGAAACCGGTCCCTGGTGCCAAAAAGGTTGGGGACCGCTGCTCTAGAAAGAAAAGCTGAAGTAAAGTTGCAGGCTCCGGTGGAAGGCATGTAGCACTGAGTGGAGGCTGGGCACCCGACGGGTTGAGCACCCCAGGGTGGTGTGACTCACTGCTGTTTATTAGTATCTTTGTCACCTTCCTGTTTCCTCTGCCAGTCTTGTGACAACTTTGCAAGAGTCACAGGATTTTTCTTTTCTCGACTCAGCCATTGAGGAGGTTATAAACATCTTAATTCAGAACTCTTTAGCGGTGGAGGATTGGAGATTACCTGGTGATTGATAATAATAAGTGCATAAGGGTGGGCACTGTGGCTCATGCCTGTAATCCCAGCACTTTGGGAGGCCCAGGCAGGAGGATTGCTTGAGGCCAGGAGTTTGAGACCAGCCTTGTCAACATAGTGAGACCCCTTCTCTACAAAAAATTTAAAAATTAGCCAGGCGTGGTAACACCAGCCTGTAGTCCCAGCTACTCAGGAGGCTAAGACAGGAGGATCACTTGAGTTCTAGAGTTTAAGGCTGCAGTGAGCTATATGATCCAGCCACTGCATTCCAGCCTGAGTGATCGAGTGAGTCCCTGTCTCAAAAAAAGAAGTG